AGTCACATTTATGGCACCCACTTCACCCACCTTCCCAGGAGCAGGCTCAGTGTTTTCCCAGCAATGGTGGAACCGCCCCTCTACCCTCCCATGACCCACAAGAGGTTTGCTGGCTTCAGGCCCCAAGTCCTCCCCTCCCTATGCCTAACACTCTTCTCCTGGACGTCACAACTGAAGGTTCAGATGCCCAGCAAGTGTGCCAGCTTATCACCTTGCCTGTGTCTTTACATAGCCTCTCACATCTTATACCTTGTCCCTGGGACACAGTGAGCTTCAACCAGCTCTGAGCGCAGGAGCCTGGGGAGGGAAGAGAAGGTCTCCGCTCTGACCCACAGAAGAGCACAGACCATGTGGTGGAGGACTGTCCACCTGCTGAGATCCCCAGGCTCTGACCAAGAGCTTAGGAAAAGATGATTTGCCTTTTGAAAGAGGAAAAAAAGACAGCTCAACAGTCTCAGATTTATGCACCATAGACCTCCAGGCAGTTTCTGCACCATAAGTTTTTTGTTGTTTTTTGTTGTTGTTGTTTTTATTTTTCCTGAGGTTTCTGAAATGTTGAACAGAAAACTGGAAGAAAATACAAGTGACCTGGAAGCTACTTTGAAGTATAGTCAGTGTACATTCAAGTTATTTTTTTAATGTTTAATTTTTTACTTAAATAAATAAGTGATTCATCAGTCTTATATAACACCCAGTGTTCATCACATCACATGCCCTCCTTAATGTCCATCACCCAGTTACCCCATCCCCTCTCCCCTCGCCCCTTCAGCAACCCTCAGTTTTGTTTCCTATCAGTGAGAGTCTCCTATAGTTTGTATACCTCTCTGATTTCATCTTGTTTTATTTTCTCCTCTCTTCGCCTATGGATCCTCTGTTTTGTTTCTTATATTCCCCATATCAGTGAGATCATATGATAATTGTCTTTCTATGACTGACATATTTTGCTTAGGATAATACCCTCTAGTTCCATCCATGTCATTGCAAATGGAAAGACTTCATTTTTTTTTATGTCTGAGTAATATTCCATTGTATATATGAACCACATCTTCTTTATCCACTCATCTGTCAGTGGACATCTGGGCTCTTACCATGGTTTGGATATTGTGGATATTGCTGTTATACACATTGGGGTGCAGGTGCCCCTTCTTTTCACTACATTTCTATTTCTTTGGGGTAAATCCCTAGTAGTGCAATGGCTGGGTCATAGGGCAGCTCTATTTTCAACTACAGTCAGAGTCCAGGTCCCTGAGCAAGTGAGGTATTTGTTCCACTTCCCCATCGGTGTGCGTCACCATAAGCAGCATTCTTGTGCCAGATTACAGAGTAATAATCAGCCTCATCTCAGGCTGCAGCCCCTAGATGCACAGAAGCCCTGCATTGGCCGAGGCGTCTTTGGAGCCCGAGAAGCGGCCAGGGACCCTGGAGTCCTGGTGCTTATTGGAGTCTGAGGAGAACCTCAGTAGACACCGGGGAGGGCTCCCTGGCCGCTGCTGGATCCAGTAGATGTCAGAGCCGCCAACACCGATGTCCCTGCTCAGGGTGCAAGTGAGTCTGGCCGTCGTTCCCGGCGATGCTCAGAGGGAGGGCGGCCAGGTCAGCACGGGCTGGGACAGGGAGCCTGCAAACGCACACATTCCTAATGAGCTGGGGCTACTTGGCAGCTGATAAGGGGTTAGATCAGGGTGGGTGACAGCTTGGGGCACTTCCCTGCTCCTCCAAAGCTTGTCCCTACCTGTGCTTTGAGAGAGAATCAGGAGCAGGAGAGGGGTCCAGTCCATGGTGGTCACAGTCCCAGAGGTCCTAGAGCTGAGGATGGGCTGAGCCAGGCCTTTCTTACCCACAGGTCCTAAGGGGGAGGAGACTGTCATGTAAATTTGCCCCCATCTTTATCTGGCTTTGTCCCTCTCTGAGCAGGACCCTGAGGAGTGTTTGTGGACAGAGACATTGAAGGGGCAACGATGCTCTGAGTTTGCAATGTGGGGAGAATTCGGGAGGAAGCAGCTGTTTGGTCAAACCCCAGGTGTGTACAGGGGACTCTCTTGCATCATTGGGGACACAGTGGCTGAGACCTGAGCACTGTGTCAGGGACCAGCAGCCTCTAGAATGACTTGGTGTCACCAGTGGCTGGCTGACTGGAACACCCCCAGTGACTCCAGGAGAGCCTGTGGCCCCTGCCACTCACGTGTCCAACCGCAGGCACCTGGGAAGCTCCTGTGGACTCTGCATCTGTCCTTGTCACAGTCATCCCACAAGCAGGGCAGGGCATGCCTGTGTGGCAAGCAGCATGGTCAGGTTGAAGTTACTGATGTTAGTCCACTCCACGTGGATTCGGGAGGCTTGGATTTCACAGGAAACACTAATACAAAATAAATAAATTATCTGCTTGCTTTTTGATGTCTAGCGTCATAAAAGTTGTGTTTACGCTGTGCCCAGTTTCTTGTTGGTATGATGTGAGGAGCCCTGGCAGGTCTGCCTCATCACGGCCACTAGACAGGACATACTGTGCTCTTCAGAGTTCTTTCCCTGGGTTGTGCATCTCCCATCTGGATTCAGCCTCAGAATTTGACGTAATTTGAGCACAATTCTGGAGGTCAAAACCAGGTTCCTAATTGAGCCCCTACCCCATAAAGGTAGTCTGCCACAACCGGGCTGGTTCTGTGGCCTGACAGGGGCAATCTGCTGCTACTCGGTGAGATTCGGGACATTCCCACAGACAATAAGCACCTGCAGGCCTTAGTGCGATAACCCCAAATTCCCCACTCTCAAGAACTACCCCAACTGTCACATCATCCCAGAAACTTCCTGATGGCATAAAAGAGATGGCTGTGTCCTTTGTAACTGTAATTTGCAAGTTGTAATTTCTGATGTGTCGCCTGCATTGTCATTCTCAGCAGAAAAGTTATTCTAAACCCCAGAAAGTGATTTCTGGAGCAACTTTTTGGAAGACCTATTTCAAGTTCAGGGGAAAATCTGACTCATTCCTCTGGCCCCTTGTCTCTGGAACAAGGGGTATAGAGACTCCAAAGGACTGTTCCTTTCCCCTTAATCCCCACAGCTGAGACACAGGTTAGGACTCTCTTCATAAGATGCCACCCTGTGTCATCCCCACCTGTGTCCCTCTGTCCAGGGGAAATGACTGTGGTGGAGAGAAGTCCCCTCCTGATGAGGGAGCTGTCACTGCCAGACTGCACAGGCCAGGGTCTCCACACGGTGACAGCCCCCATGAGATCTGTTGGCAGACCTCAGACAAGCAAAAGCTGCAGCTTGCATTTAGTCCCCAGAGAAACCCCTCAGTGAAGGTGCATGAGCCCTCCACTACCACAAAGATCCCCTGAACTGCACATGTGTGATGACAAGTGGTTCCAGCCATGATTATCTTGGCCTGCATGATTCACATGATGTCCACAATCATGAGAACAATCAAGAGAGCTTTCACCAAAGTCCTGGGGCGTTCCTGAGGTTGCAGAGCTTCTTGCTATGTGATATGATCCCATCAACACATGCTCAGGGGCACTACCAACTACCCAAGGTGTCCACAATGGGGGAGGGCGATTCTCTACCCTGGAGTGGTCAACATGTCCATTTATCAAACATCCACATTCAGGAGGAGCAAAATCTTCACTGCACACTGGCTGCAAATGCAAACCTCACAAGGTTCTGTGTGTCCCCACCCATCAGCATTTACTGGGGAGATTTCAGGGATGGACTTGGCAAGGCACCCAGCTCTTCCTCCTCTCATGAGTCTGGGGGAAGCAGAGGAGAAAGGGCAAGGCCAATGGGATGGATATGGGGCTATATGGGGCTGTCTCCAGAGATGCTTCACTTTTAAATACCTGCACGGGTGAAAGGAATGGCTGGGATGGGGCTTCAGGAGGAGGAGCCTCAAGTGCTCCCGGGAGGTATACAGCTAAGACTGGAATCGGTGTTGAAGAGACATAGAGATCTCCGGGGAGTGAGATCATTGTGGGAGGGACAGGGGGCGGTTTTGGCTGGCTCAGGTCAGGCCACCTGAGAGAGACTTTGGAGTCACCAACAGACTACCTTTGTTAACTCTCATTGTTACATGAAGGTAATGAAATCCCAGCCTTAGAGAGTGCCCAGGACATATCTGTCTGCAGAACATAAAGTGATTGGGTTTTATGCATCCAGAGATTAGGGTGAACCAAGGGCCATGGTGTTGCTAGGGGGTGGGAAAGAGGAAGAGAGGAGGTGCTCCGAGGGACCATTTCTGACACCACATCAGCCATTTACCTGTGCAAAGAGAAGTGGAAAAGGGAGAGGCCCAGGCTGGGAGGGGTGTCTCCAGAGTCAGCTTCCTGCAACATTGGAGGGGGAACACAGCTAGCCAGTTATCTCCGTGATCCTACCTCCATAACTTGGGGAATTGGAACTTCTTTTCTTCTTCTGTTTTGTCCCTGAGTATTCACAGCCTTGTCAGCATTGTGGCATGAGCCTCAGATCACCAAGAGATGAAGAAGAAGCATGGCTCTTATAGAACCCGCTTCAGTGATGAGGGAGGATGTCCAGTGCACACAGGGAGGTCACGCACACAGTCACATCTTACTTTAGAGAAGGATCTGTTGCTCAGCATCCTTGGAGCTACAGAGACCTGCTTCCTCTGGGCCTCAGGGGGGAAAAACAGTTTCCAGAAAGGGGGGGAAAAAAAAGAGTTCCCAGAGAAAGACTGGAATCAGCAGACGCAGGAAGAATGTGGCTCACTCTTAATGCCGGGCCTTGGGAGATGGGCATGGGCCATGTTGGACGCAGTGACCCACCACAAGCACTCAGACCACCCACGTCTCTGAGTCAGGCCTAGACCCTGGGCTGGCATGGGTCGGGTCACCCACCTCCATCCGGTCCATAATCTCCCTGAAGTGGTACTTTGTCCTAAGACCTGATTTATTCCTATGGAGACAGTGAGATCTGTATAAGAAAATATTAGCAGTGGACCCAATGAACCCTGTAAAGTAAATGAGAGGACATTTGCACATACAAATGTCCTAAGAAAGGAAGCTGGATGAAGAGATGACAACAGATGTCACCCGGAGTAGCCTTGGTACCAGGCAGGGCAGGGGTGACTGCAGCATGCAGAGAGAGCACTGGGGAGGTTTTAGTCTCACTTCCCCAAGGTTCTGGAGGACATTGTCCATATAAGGGCTGCCATGTCCAGTATTACAGTAAGAGTCTGCCTCATCCTCAGCCTGCAGCCCCAAGACGCGCAGAAGCCCCCCATTGGCCGAGGTGTCTTTGGAACCCGAGAAGCGGCCGGGGACCCCGGAGCCCTGGTGCTTATCCGAGTCTGAGGAGAACCTCAGGGGAGGTTCTCCCTCCCGGGGAGGGCTCCCTGGCCGCTGCTGGATCCAGTAGATGTCAGAGCCGCCCACACCGACGTCCCTGCTCAGGGTGCAGGTGAGTCCATCAGTTGCTTCCAGAGCTGCAGAGAGGGAGGGCAGCCAGGTCAGCACGGGCCGAGAGAGGTGACCGCAGACACAGATCTCATGGGTGATAGGGCAGGGACAAGGGTAAAGTTTCTCAGACTCTGTGACTGAGGAGCTGACACCAGCTGTAGGGCTGTCTTGTGTCCCTGAGGCCTGTCCCGACGGTGCCATGAGAAAGGAAAACAAGAAGGACAGGAATCCAGGCCATGGTGACACAGACACAGGTCCCCACAGTGGGCTGGGCTGCCCCAGGCCTCCTTTTCTCCTCCACCCTCCGCCACAGGAGGGGCTGTCCATGCAAACGGGGTCCACCCAGTGACTGCCCAGCCCCTCCCGGAGCCCTGGTGCTGGAGCTCAGCTCACAGACACACTGAGGAGGAGGGGGTGGCTTCAGCCCTGGGGAGAGTCCTGGGAGGACGCACCTCCTGAGATCACACAGGTCCCTGCTCTGGGGACTCTGCCAGACCAGAGAAGACACAGCGGCTGAATCCCCATCAGGGAACACAAGACCCAGTCTCCAGTCCCAGGCTTCATTGAGTGAAACTCCTCCCTGAGCCTCCGCGGAGGGTCAGCCACAATCTGGACCCACAGCACCCCCTGCTGGTCACAGGGCGCACACCTCACAAGGCCCAGAGCCCTGAGAGCCCAGCTGGTTTCTGCACCTCACCAGGTCCCTGTCTGTATTTACACATCCATGTTCTGATTTCTAGTACAGGTTTCTTCTGCAATCTGACAGTTGAACATTCCTCCAAATCCTTTCTTATTTTAACATGGCATAATGTGAAGGAGTATTTGCAATCAATTTATATGATTTTTTTTATTCCCAGACCTAAAAAATAACCTCTCTTTGGTTTTCCTGACACGTTAGGAAATATATTTCTAGCCAATGCAGAAAGTAAATGGACATAAAGCACAGATACTCACAGTTCAAACATCTGGCAGCTCGATGCTACAATGGTAAGTGAAGTTCTTTTTTTTTTTCATTATGATCAGATAGCCACCATATAGTACATCCTAAGTTTTTGTTGTAGTGTTAAACGATTCATTAGTTGCGTCTAACACCCAGCGCTCATCCCAACACGTGCCCTCCTTAATACCCATCACCCAGTCACCCCCTCCCCCCACCCCTCTCCCCTCTGTAAGTGAACACTTTCAGGGGAAAATTAACCATACTAACATCAAATTAGGAGATTTATCCAAAGATCACACACATAAAAAATAAAGAAAAAAAGCGTGTGGTTCATACTCTAAAGTAAGAATGACACTATCTGAAAACATTTGTGTGAACATTTGTGTGAATGTTATAAAATACCCTTTCCCTGTGCAGTTGCTAGGGAGCAGAAAGAACAAGAAGGGTGGTGGTGGATGTGGTGATGGATTTGGGAACAACATACAATTTCCAGAGTAATAGGTGAACGAGAAGCCACAAATTTGGAGTTCATCCCATTATTCAATAAAAAGGTGATTGAAGGGCGCCTGGGTGGCTCAGTTGGTTAAGCGACTGCCTTCGGCTCAGGTCATGATCCTGGAGTCCCGGGATCGAGTCCCGCATCGGGCTCCCTGCTCAGCGGGGAGTCTGCTTCACCCTCTGACCCTCCTCCCTCTCGTGCTCTCTTTCTCTCATTCTCTCTCTCTCAAATAAATAAATAAAATCTTTTAAAAAAAAAGTAGTTACTGTGTAACTATATGTATGAAATTTTGAGATGAAGAAGACCTAAAAATTAAGGGGAAATGGAACAATTAGAAAGGATAATTGAAACATCTGAAGATGTATGTATCTGTTCTCATCCATCACTACAAAATGATGAAGCAAACGAGAAGAAACAGAACAGTCATAAATACCATCTATGGGTATTGCTCATAAGGAAGCTGCAGGTATTGTGTGGTTCATCAAAGATGAGCAGGGACACCATGGTTTCCACAAGGATTCCTGACCACTAGAGGGAGCCCTGAGACAATCCTGCTGATTGTCCCAGTCATTCTCATGGGTCCGCATTACTGAATTACAGTCCCTGAGGACTGTCTAGGGGGCAAGTAGGAGCCAGCTCTGAATGGGAGAAGTGGGAAGCTGGATGAGGGAGAACCAGGGCACCAGGAGCCCCTCACAATGAGAAGGACAGACAGCAGCTGTCCAAATGTTCCATGGTGCTGCTGCTTGATGCAGCCAAGTGCTGCCTTTGGGCTGTGCTTTCAATCCCTGAAGGACATGCCCATGCACCCCTCCTGCCCTGGGCTAAGGTAGCAGTGAGTCCCAAGGCAATGTGTGCGGTGACCCCCCCTCCCCCACCCCACTTTCTCATGGAACCAGAGCTCAGGGCTCAGGGCTCTCTCGCTAACTGGGGCAGCTGACGTACTGTGCATATTACTTACCCCACATCTGCTGTCTGTCCCTGCAGGTTCATGCCCTCAAAAATCTTTCCACTAGGAATGCAAGCTGGTGCAACCACTGTGGAAAACAGTATGGAGATTCCTCAAACAGTTGAAAATAGAGCTACCATACGATCCAGCAATTGCACTACTGGGTATTTACCACAAAGATACAAATGTAGGGATC